ATCATCATCATCATCATCATCATCATCATCATCATCATCATCATCATCATCATTCCTCACGCATTGAGTATCTATATTTCCTCAGGAGCAGCTATTGCACCAGTCGCAGCAAGGACTTTTGAGTGATTTCTTCAAACATATAAATGTTAACGATCTTGAGGAGTAGCCCTAAAATATCGCTACCTCAGAATTACAAAATTCAGTCTGACATTTTTTTAACGCGTTGTACGTGTTACTAAGACCAAGAGAGGGCTAGAGGGCGACCGAGAAAAACCTGGATAGATGGAGTCAGGAAAACATTAACCACCCACGGCATCCCCCTGACCCAAGTTCTCCGGCTGGCGACAGAGAGACGTCTCTTTCTTTCCGCGACACCCAAAGGGTATAAGCGGCGGATAAAAGTAAAGTACTAAGACCAAGAGGTCATAAAGAAACTTCGTGCTCCGTCTGCTCTATCAAAGCCATACGAATATTCGGAGTCGTAATCAAGGCAATATTCAAAGAATTAACTGCATTCGAAAAAGCCTGAAATAGTATTGTGAAACTAAAAAATTCTGACGTCAAACTTCTCACAACTATGCATTGTTTGTTTGTTTTAGTAAGTGTTTTACGGCGCTCACAACTGCATAAGGTCATATGAGCGCATAGGGCACACCTAATATTTTCAGTTGGTAGGAAATGTTGAATTTTGCTCAGGTAGTGGCCGAAGCCTACTCTTATCGATTTTAGACCACCAAGGGATCTTTAAAGCGCGCAACTTGCACTCGGGCCCTCCGAGATTTTTCACCCTTTTCCGAGAAGACTAGGTGTAGATCTTTCCTACCAGAAGATCAGGGGTGTGGCTGAAAGACAGAAGTTAAGAAGGAGCTAGGGAGTAGCAGTAGAAAAACTGCAGAATGAGTCATGGGGCCAAAGGAGGGGGAAAAGGAGATGAGAGGGGTGAGGGCAGAAAGTGGAGACGAAAGCAGACGACAGAACATTGCTAGAGAGCAGAAAAGGAGGTGAAAGGAGACAATTCTAGAGAATAAAAATTTTCCGTCGCTACCCAGATTCGAACCCGGGACCTTTGAACGAGAGGCGAACACCTTAACCTCTAGGCAACGAGAGCACCCAAACTAGGTACTTACGCAGACTGTACTTTGTTATTCTGGGAGTTGTGTACTCAGTGGCAGCCGTAAAAA